CGCGCATACACACCTACATAAATGTGTACGTGCAATGCGTGTGTGCCTGCGTGTGGCAGCGCTTGTCGACTGAAAACACAATAAAAAAATAAATGTTTATCTTCAATTTTACTGCAGTGCTGCCATTTGGTCAGTGTCAGTGCTAGTGCCTATGGCATTGCAGAAGTGGAGGACGAGCGCATAGAAGCTGCATCATAAACAACTAAATGTGTAAATATGTATCCACATTAGACTGTATGAACTTACAAGCAAACAAAAAAAGGTTCGCCGTATACCCAAGGAGCCACAATTAAATTTTTCAGTACATTAATGAATCAATTTTTAGCAAAACTTCAATGGATTTTTGGTGAGCTTTAGTGTGCTGACATTAGGTTAGTACGCTAGGATGATAAGAACTGAGATATGGTGGGTGAGTATTAGTATGGAGAACTTGGCCACTGAACGTTCGAACAAAAAAGTTATCTCCTCGAGACAGAACATCGATATATCTTACTTTAAGACCCGACTATAAATGCTGAAGACATGACGCAAAATATTAAAATGGCACCGCTACTTTCGGCCAAACAAAATAATTTTTTTTTTTTTTTTGATCTAAACTGCCTTGCAAAAATGCGTTAGACTCAGAGATGTTGAGATAACTTTTTTTCTGGTACGGTCTAATGTATGTACAAACATATGTATGTAGTTGTATGTTTTGTACCTTCCCTTATGAATACAGGTACTAATACAGTGGTGGAAAGAAATAGGGACACGAAATTTTAACAAATTTTTCCTGTTTTTCTTTTGTTTATTTAATATTTAGTTTTTTTATAAAAGTATAGCTTATTGTCTACAAAAACCATATAAATACCTATGTCAAACTTTATGCAAAAACTATAAAAATTCTGCAAAATTGCATCTAGATTTTAAACTTTTTATCAGATTCTTTAGAATTTCTTTGAGTATATAGTTTTATAGCCCATTTTTGGTAGAATAAAGTGTGAGCTTGAAGTTCCTTAAAAATCGCTTTGATAAAAAACTGATTAAAACTTTTAAAATTTAGATATAATTTTGCAGAATTTTTATAATTTTTGCACAAAGTTTGAAATATGCATTTATATGATTTTTGTGAGACAATGAGCTTTAATTTTTTTAAAAAATAATAAAACATTTTAAATAAACGAAAGAAAAGTAGGCAAAATTTGAAAAATTGTCGGGTCCCAATTTATTTTTACACCACTGTATATGCCTAGCAAATCATTCTACCACCTTTCTTTGCATAACCTTGGATCACTGCGCTTGCTGCAGCAACAGTACATGCAAACACATACATATATGTATGCTTACAATGGTGTACATATTTTTATACACGACAACAGCAAGTAAAATGCGTTTACGCATAAAAATTCCAGTTTCTCAGCGCTTAAACAAAAGGGCCCCCGTGGTTACACAGAAGAGCTCCTGAGCTGGATATTTGTGAATACGTATGCATACATACATATATACACACACAAGTTTGTATTTATATTTTCTCTTGCACTTTTGCGAATGAAAGCTCCCCACAGTTTTGCGAATGATAGCACCTGAGGCAGCTGCATTTTTTGTACACTTCTGAAGGTGCACATGGTTGCCTACATACTTGCTGTTATTTTTGCTTGCTTACAGCATGCAGCAATTTAATCTGTGATCTGTGATTTGCTAGCGAGTCGATAAATTGGTAAACGATTGCAGTAACAAAATTACGGACCCAGCAATTATGCATCATTTATATGCAAGTGGGTATGCAATGGGGTGACTGAGTGAGGATCCATTAAAATTTTTACTCGGCTGCAACTTCCATATACCGTTTAAAAACATTTATTTTGCCGTATAAGTAAGTGGTACTTTTTTGTTATACATACTTATTGCAGCAATTTTTTAAAATGGTGGACGAAACAAAGTTGAAGGATTACAATTGGAAAGGCGAGTGAGAGGTCATCAGTAAACCCTACGTATATAAATTATGAAAGCCTCACACATAAAAAAGAAATATCTACGACATCAAAAGATTTACACTATAGCTTCCTAAAGATGATACAGTTTGAAAGGAATCCACTTTATCAAGTGTTGCAAGAGTTGCGACTTTTTCATTTTAAGCAGCTTTCCTGACTATTTCTCTGCAACATATCTTCTAGGACGCGTTCACACCGAAAGTCGAGCCGCGTCGAGCGAAGCAAGGCGGAACAAAGCCAAACTGCTGGTGTTCACACCGAACGAAGCGAATCGGAGCATGGACTCGGCTGCAAAGGTACCACAAAACTTACCGTCAATGAAAAGCGGCAAAAATATCTGCTCTATTTTATTCAAAAGATTAGTTGTAAAATTTGTTTTTATTTGAATATTTTGCAATTTTGTTTGCAGCAGCGTCATGAAGCTGAAAAATTAAACAAAAAATTCAAAATCAAAAACTGCTTTGCTTTCAGCTCAAAAACGCTTATGGAAAAGCTTGCTGTATGAATACTTTCATATAGCCACAGAAATTTGAAAACTTCATTCAGCTTGGGACGGCTTCGCTCGGCTCGGCTCCGCTTTCTGTGTGAACGTACCCTTAGGCGTTGTTACTCAAACCTTCTTGTGTTGTGCCTTATTTAGGTATAATCCCACAAAATTAACTCTTAAAGTGTGTTTGCATTGTTCAACCTTGCGTTCAACATTTGCGTTCAACTCAGCGCAGGGTTGCACGAAAAAAAAGTAGAATGGCTAAAAATATCAAAATATGAAAAAATATCAAAATATTCGCCATAAAAAGGTGTTTGCATTGTTCAACTTTGCATTCAACTTTTGGTTGAATGGCCTTTCAACTAATCGCTTTCAACAAAGTTGGTCGCCAGCCAACATTTAGCCATTCAACTTTTTTTTCGTGCAACCCTGCGTTGAGTTGAACGCAATTGTTGAACGCAAAGTTGAATAATGCAAACACTGCTTTAGATAAATCTCACATTGAACAAAACACCTTCAAGGTCTTAATAAATTATTGTTGAAAATTAAATTAGTTATAGTCTCGCCATTCTCCTCGTTAGATGTGATCATAGTATTTGATGTAATGAAACAAACTCTCAGTCAAAATAGGCAGAGATCTAAGCGTTCGAATTTTTCCAATGTCACGGATTGTATGCGCCTATTGAGTTTGATGAAGAGCTGAGCGGTAAATAAACTCGAGTATAAGGTGCGGGCTTACACATTATAAAACTTTAACTGATGTCTCCGCAATTACCTCTTGTAGAGAAACTGGAACCTGTATTGAAATAATGAGGCCAACATCCACTTACTTTTTCAGGCGTGTTCCTCGGAATTCCAAAGCGAGGTATTTGAAACCCTCAAGGCTATGACTTCCAAGCTGCACTCAAGGCATTGGCTTGCACTCTAAGTCCTTTCGAACTAATTCTACACAGAAGTCGTGGATTAATAATTTTGCCTTATACAGAGTTTTCCCACAAAAAGAAATAAAAATTAAGCCGAAAATTGGTATTCCACCCATAGTAAATACATGAAAACCTATCGTGAAAAGTGAACCGGTTCGAGGAAAATAAAACTCATGAAAGGGCTGAATGAATTAGTTTTATTTTGGCTGCCAGGTCCTGGGAAGTATTTACTTGGTAATGAGTTACAACGAAAAATCTGAAGTTTTGAAATGACACAAAAAAAACGGCGACATGAACTTAAGTTTGAGTCGTAGATTATGTATTTGCATTCAGATCAGGAAATTTTCAAAAGACATTTTCATTTTTATGAAAAGAAATTCAAACATTACCAAGGAAAAAATTAAAAACACAGAAAATTTTGTAATTTGTTTCAATTGTATTAAAGTCTGTTTTTTTTTGCTATAAAATCAACCTAACGATGAAAATCGATAGATAAATAAGCAAGTATGATGGGTCGAATGAAAATGTAAAATAATATTTTGTTGAAATAGGAGCAGGAAGTAATATTACTCATACGCCATATCGTACATAGCCCTACTCGTAGTACATACTCGCACATGGTGTTTGAGAAGAAAGATTTTCCCTGATCAAGAAAGAATTTTTTCTTTTCATTTGCAATGCACACTTAAAACGAAAATATCTTGGGAATTGCCCTGATATAGAAGAATGGTGTACAAATCCATAATCTACGACCAAAAATTAAGTTTACGTGTCTCGGCATTAGCGTCGCTAATAGTGTGTAGGCTCAGACAAGACTTTTCATGGTCCGGTGCCAGTTATACCAGTTTTAGAAGATATTGAATAGATGAGACTGCTGACAACTTGTGGGGTTGCTGATAGGTTCATTATTGCGATACAAATACCTCAATGTGATCGGCACACATGGCAAACCCATTTGCTCTTTCTGCCTTGAAGAAAATGAAATGGCGCACGGCCATGGGGGGTGTGAGTGATAGAAAATAGGTAAAAACATATAAAAAAAATTTCTTCTTATATCAATCTATATGTATAATCTTATATCAATTTCTAGCGATTGAGTGTTACAATAGAGGTGGTTCAAATTCTTCTACGTATTCTATCGAAGGTATCCTTTTCCGCTTAATATACGTGATAAATGTCCTACATACGAAGAGACCATCTATTGGTTCTCGGGTAGGAAAATTCCTGTTCTGTTCTTTCTTTAAATATTTTCTAAAACTGATTTCTCTCCAAACTCATGTTCAAATACTTGAATTCACAAAAGTGTTCAAAAAAAGAAATTTAATATGGGAAAAATCGCATTGGGTACCGTATACTTCTTCTTCCATAAACCTAGTACTAGCTTACAGGATCAGCGTACTCAGAATTATTTCGTCTAACTACAGATGGGTAGGTGGTGGATAGATAGGTGTGGTGGCCACTGCTAAGCAGGGACACACATAGGTCACGAGTTTAAGACCCGTTGTGTACCACGACTAAGAGTTTTCACTCACTTTCGGTTAATTTTATTGAAATTTATAAAATCTCCCAATTCGGTTTCCGCCACTTCTATAAATGTATACAATTTAGCCGTTCACTTACCGATTGTCGTTATCACAGTCACTGAGTAGAGCAACGCCTCACCGAAGCTCCAATGTGTGGGCATTAATGTCGCATCTGCTGTCGTATCAAATGCGCTGCCATAGCGCCGCAACGCTGTTGTACTACTACCAAACATGCCGACGCTGCTGCTGTTGTTGGTATGACGTGTCGCTGCCACAATTGAGTCTTCAAAACGTCGCAGTTGTTCGTGCACCAGCGTTGACCAGTTACGCTCGTAAAGGACGTTCAGTTTTTCTGTGGGAAGAGAGGAAAAAGACAATGAATAAAAAGTAGTCAATTTCTGCTCAGCCTGAGGCTTGTTTGTTGTGCTGGAGCTGGAATAAGTTTCAGCGCTCAAGGCCTCTTTAAAGGGGTAAAAGTTACATTAAAAAGCATGATGTGAGAGTAGGTAGTGTTAGTTTTCTAGCTTAGTTAGAAGTCGGAATTTCTTTACAAAAATCGCCTATTAATTTTTAATAATTTACTCTGAGGTTTCATTATTTAAAATGCAAGCGTATAACTTACCAATATAGCAAGCATTCTAATTAGAGTGACATCTCTTTACATACACCCTTTACCTCTGTATATGTATGCCTTCATGTACATTTTATTAATATAAGAAATCTTACGAAACACCCTTTACTTTTGTACATGTATTTCACCAAGTTCATACTTGGTTAAGTAAGCAACTAAGTGCCTGGGAACTAAGGTTTTTCTTCCTTACCTACAGCGGATCTTAATAGCTGCAGCATAAGCACAATTCGAAGGTCGCTATGGAATGTTAGTCACAATAGCTCGAAGCATACGTACATGACAACGTAGGCAAATGTGTATAACAAACATGAACAATTGTATGTACATACATATTTATGTATATTCAAGTGTGTTTTGAATGTCCTTTTTAGTGGCCTTGTAGTGTCATTTCTGTGTCCTTCTGCATAAATACATGCATTACTACACGATTGTCTTCTGCATTTAAATATGTCTTAACTCACGCCACGAACAGCTTGCATGAGGCATCTATGCATGTAGATATGTATGTACTATACTAAGTATGCATGGAGATATATGTACATACAACGGTGCATTTATGCTAATTTATAATTATGCAACGTTGCCTATAGGTATTTTGATACTAATATAGGGACCTATATATTCTCATTTTATGAAATGGTGTAGGGAACAGTTTTTTAGCACCTTGGATAAAATATCGATTCTATTTTCAACTGAAAATTTAAATTTCTCAAGTATAAGCTCTCAACAGAAGTTATTTTAAGCTTCAAACCCCTTGTCATTGTGGACTATGATTTCACTTGAGATCAGATCCAGGCTCAAATTCTAGTCCGACCAACATCCAAAACCCTTTTTTCTAATAGCGTCCGTTCCTGGGAAGGTAATGGTAAATCTCAGAGTGTATTTCTGAAATTAAAGAGCGCCTCACAAAAACCACCTCTGTAAGGCCTGGAATGGATGGTTAGCTAAGCATGCGTGATTTTCTTCTACTTAAAACTTGACGATGGCATAAAATGTGATGTAACTTTTCTGCTTCTTCTATGTCGAATCTATCAATGATATAGTACATACAGATATAGCTCTCATTTTGAATGCACTCAGGGTGGTGTTGTATGTTCTGAGCATCTGCGATTATATTTTATATTATATATAAAATTTTTATTTTTCGTCTTCTAGGTATTGTAGTTTCATTGAGGGGTATTATAGAGTCGCCGAGCATACATTATTCGAGAAAAACCTGCCTCAAAAAGAGATGAGTTATTAAATAAACTTATATTTACAAACTCCATGCTTTTTTAAGAGGAGAATGTATGGAAATTAGAAATAATGAATGGCTTGGACCTAGGGAGCCCAAATTAGCAGAGCAAGGAATCCATTTCCGTGTCGCAGTAATCGAAAAATGTATTACAAATTTTTTTTTCACGAATTCATTATCTATCTACATGCTGATTTTAGGTAAAAAATAAAATAAAAATCTAAATTTTCGCGTTTGAAGGTCATTGTAAGGTCGAGGTAATTTTGTATTCAATGTGACCTTCGAACTTAAAATTTTTGATTTTTTATATTTTTTTTTTGGCCTGAAAAAAGGATAATTTTCAAAACCCCATTCCTTGGAAGGTCGTTTGAAAGGTCAAGGAAATTTTTTTATCCAACGAAAAAAATTTTCCAGAATACTCTATATCTCAAAACCCGTGAAACGCTATTAAATTTTTTTCGCTAGCTGTTCTCGTTCTCGAGATATTAAAATTTGTCACGAAAAAAGTTAAATTTCGTCACAGCGTGCCGTTTTCTCAAGTAGCTTATAAAATTTGTTTGCCATTCAAACAGATTTTTTTTAAATAAAATATGTATTTAAAGGGCAAACAAATTTAAAACTTGCATGAGAAGGCGGCCCTAAAATTTGTTTCACATTCAGTAAAGTTTCTGAAGACGTTGCACAAAAACAGTCAGATTTGTACCTGTAACTGTGTGAAGAGGGCAGAATTGAATATGTGGAACATATTTTGGGGAACAGCCTACCGCCGATAATATATTTGGTACAGCACATAATACAGTTAATTGAAACTTTGAAAAATGCAGTCACATCAATTTTGACCCAACTGAGAAGAGATGAGCAACACCGAGAATGGCTTCGCATATTTACGTCCAGATACAGAAGGTATCGGTATGACTTGTAGATCTACGCCAGTAGATAAGGCAAGAAGAATATGTACGAAAAAACAGTGTAAGAAGGTAATGAAATCGGCGAACGTGAACGCGGGACGAAGAAACCCGAATAAGTTATTTGTTAAATGTACACACAGAGGATGGTTTTAAGTCGAAGCAACTTCTAAAGAACTGCGACTGGATAGTGACCAATTTGAGGCATCGTGCTCAAACCATCTGTCGACGAAATTCTTGACAGAAATTCCGGGAAGAGAACGCTGTATGACGGTTAAATTTTTTTTAAAGTCTCCCACCGGTGTTTATGGGATTATTCGTTTGGTGTTTGTTTCTCGATGCTGTTTTATAACCAAAAAACCTCACTAGCCTTACACCTACTTACTTTTCCTAGGTGGTGTTTGTAAATGCAGAAATTATGTTTAAGCATCTGCTTGAGCTCAGTGAATTGATGTAACATAATGCGGCAAGGATGAGCAACACTCAGTTACATAAGCAATGGCATATTACGAGTGTCTCGGCCACAAGAGGCTGTTGAGTGGATACGGGGAGAAGAAGCTGCGCACGAGTGGATGGTGCATTTGAATGAATCGCACGCAAAAGTGTATAAACTATCATCTTCTACACACTCTTCTCTATACGCATACATACATACATACATACATGCATGTTATATACAGACATATGCAAGCTGCATTTAGTTAATAATTTGCTACTTTCTGTAGTAAAAATTAAATTTAAGCATTTGTGCGTGTCCTGAAAATAATTTTATTTGCCGCACAATAGACGATTTAAAAATTTACTTCGAAATTTACATATTTCGGCAATAACACATTTGTTCAAATATATAGAATTTTAATTTGGCCACTAGGTTTGTTTTCCAAATATTTAATAAAAGCCAGAATATATACTAAACAATTGCCTAATAAAAGTCCTAATTACTACAATGTTTGCTATTTTGAGCACAAATAATCAAATTTGTAATGGTGTATGCACCATAATTGTCGTTTTTTATAACATGACAAATTGCATGACATTTACAGCTATTTTACTACCACAATGACTTCTAATGCCACTGTCAATTATTCAATTAGAATTTACTTTTTTTAATATACTATATATATACTTTATATATTTATGATTGTAGGTTTCAAATATTTACATGACAGTTTCAAAATAAAAGGGATTTGATTTAAAAGATTTATATTGGTGTAATTTGGCTTTTAATTGGAAATTGTAACAAATTTCGGCCTTATTTACCATTGATTAATTGAACCAAAAATATAGTTACATGTGTGTATGTACACACGTATGTACGTATAAGTAGTTACATACATATAATATTGTATAATAGTATATGTGCTACATTCAACTTAACAAAATTTGTGGTAAATGTGGCTTTTATGGTTGTACTAATATTGTGATTATGAATTGCAGACTGCATTACATTAGACCAAGTAGATATCTGTGTAAATTGGTACATACAAAAATACTATCAGAGTGTAATGGAAACTTTATGAACTTATGACCTACTGTTTGACACATCAAAATCGATCAATTGAAAACCATAATGCTAATTATACTATTTGGGGTTGTTAATATTTGCCATTGGATATAAATGCTTATCAAATATTTTAAATTAAAATTAATTCAGCAGCTGTGGTAATGAATGCCAATTTTGAGTGCTAATTTTTTAAATTGACTTGAAAATACTGAGGAAAAATCTTTGACTTTTCAAAGGTACCACCTACAGCATTGTTGCGGCCAACATTTCTTTTATTATTGTGGTTTTTGCTGTTGAATGAACTGTGTTTATTTTTATAAAGATCTATGAAATCTAACGGGGAAATATTAAAACCCGGTTTCCATATTTTTCTTCCACGCGATAATTTCACGAACGCTTCAATTTTTCACTTTTTTATATTTTATTTTATTTTCTTTAATTAATTTAAATTTTATTTTATCTCACTTTTAAACTTCTCAAAAATTACTCATACGCCTAGGCATCTGCGTTCGTGTTCTACCGTTTATATTCAAAAACTTTATGTAATCGAAAAAGACAAGTTTGAATTATTGTTATTTTTTGAATCAAATAAATTAAATTGTTATTTATCACACACATAATTATTGATAAATACAATAGCAATAATTCCATAGTATTAAACGTTTGAATGAAATAATTTTTTTTTTCAAATACTCTCGTAATTCAATTAATTTCCTTGGGCGTGTTTTGATGCAATTAATGATGCATAACAAATTTCTATATTTGTGCTGACAATTTTGTTTTATAAAAAGCATTCAAAGGCGTTCAAGTGTGAAAAATGATGTAATTTGTTAAACGAATATTTGGAAAAGTTAATGAGAAATGAATATCCTACCAAATACTTATCTTATACAGGGTGCGACAGGTATTTGAGTATTCTCATATATGTATATTCGCTCGACTTCGTACATACACGTATTTTTTATTTTGATTTTACAATTTTCCATGTCATAAATGAAAGTGAGGAACCTAGCAAAATACATAAGAGATACACAATAAAAGACGTCATAGCACCACTGATTTTCTAAGCGCAAAAACTATAGGGTGGCTGATGAATATTGCAACATTAAGAAACTCAAACGTAATTTTTTTATTTGTGACTCATTTGATATATAATCGATTTGTATTACTTTTTTAATTGGTTTTAAAAATGCTGGAATTTAAATTGCCCCACACTCGGCGACGCAAATGCGGCAACCTAGCAAAAAGTTACACTTTAGTGTGTGAAGGGTTACAGCGCGAATTGCATTACCTATCGGTCGAATGTATTGTTCAAAAATATTCAAATTTGTTGGTTTGACGTGTAAACTTCCTGCTCGCAATAACTTAACAAGAAAAAATCAGGCGCAGTAATATCAGAAGACCTGGGGGACAACCACCATTTGAAGGATCTTTTGGCTAAGTTAAAAAATCATCGTACATACAGATAAACTCACTGTCGAAACTTTGGGATTTGCCTTTATGGCTGCAGCTTCAGCAGCGATAGTTTCATGCCTTGGAACTGAAAAGTTTCATTCTAAATATCTTCTTGGGATTGCCCCATTCCCGGGCTTTTTTTACGAGCCTCATTATAGACCATCTACTTAGAGGAGTGTCGCCAACTGCATGCCTATCGAAACTACGGACTACAATGCGTGATAGCAGCGGACATTTCAAATTCCTGTCCCCCATTTTCCCACTTTTCCACAACAAGAAACAAGTTATTCATTATCTTTTTTGTAGTAGCTTTCATCAGCCACCCTATATTAGATTAATTCAACATTCGATCTGGCATGCAAACGATTTCGGCAGAGAATTCAAGCTGTTTTTGCCGCTGTAGGCGACTTTATTGAATAAATATTAGAGCCTATGGGTGACTTACTCAACTCTAAAAATTCGAAGGAAAGGTAGTAATATTTCTCTTCAAATGCCTGTCGCACCCTGTAAACTTGAACATTTTTCAGTGGGCGAGCAAGTATGGATGTTTCTTGTTCTTTCACGCTAAGACAGCGGAACGGATTTGAATAAAATTTGGCTTGCAGGCGGCATATTACCTGGATTAACATACTTAAAATATTTCGGAAAGGGTTGCCGCCTGTTTAAAAAACCAGTTTAAGTTTAATTACCAGTTCAAAGAAATTTTGAAATATGGATGTAAAACGTGCTGTACTTCGAAAACCGTTATTTCAAAGATATTTTTTAAAATGGTTGCCACCCTTTAAATGCTAAATTGAATTTGATTAATAAGTTTAATGAAATACTACAATATTGGTGCCAATCGAAAAAGGTTTAAGAAGACAATATTTTTAAATTAATTTCAAAGAGTGTTGCCACCTGTTTAGAAATTTAGTTTTTATTTAAATTACAAGTTCTACGAAATTTTGCAATATGTATGTAAAACGTGCTAGATTTCAAACACCGTTATTTCAAATATTGTTACCACCTTTCAAATGTTAAATTTAACAAATTTGAATTTGCTCAATAAGTTAAATGAACAAAATGCTGATCTAAAATTTTTTTCTGGTGCACTTTGTAAATTGAAATACGGAGCAATATGATATTGATATGAACCAAATATTTTCGGGACATGTTTTATTGAGCCACATTTTTGAAGAGATTATAGAGAGCCTAGCTAAGAAACCCAAGTCTTTTTTTTAATACTGAAACGGCCAACTTAGTTGAAAATTGGCATATTTACAATGTTCGGCAAATAATTGTTACTTTAAAATTTTTACTCCATTTCTTTATTTCATTGTACGTCTCTAGACAATAAGCAGAATATTTTAAAATATGGTTATTAAAAAATCTAAAGGTCAAATAATCGACATTAAAAAATCGTGTTGCGCACACCACGTCACGCTACGCCGCGGCCCCCCTTCCCCGACTCCCACCGTGCTGTAACGCAGGTAGATTTATTTTTTGTATACGTTGAAATAAATTGTTTATATATTTTAAACATCGAGGGCTTATATTCAATAAATTACCCTCTATCTGCACACTTTTCACAAAGATGAGATTCTGATATAAAAATCCACCTAAGCTTTAAATGTCATCAGTGATATTAATGCTACCTTATATAACGACAGGTAATAAGTCCCAGAGGGTTTCTAAAATCACAAATTAGTTTTTGTGCAAATCGCAGATAGAGGGTATTAATGAATTCATGTCCTCGATATTTCACATTTTTATATTTGTAAGTTATTAGAAGCAAGGATGCCAAGTTGGCTCAAACCATGCCATTTGTCCCTATTTTACTTCAAATGGCACTTAATTTTTCAATTTGGCACAAAGTGCCAAAATGGCACTTTTGTAAAAAAAATTACATTTCAATACATTTTTGTGAAATCCTTTGCGTGCACTTCTTTTTCTCATATTCATATTTTCTTTTACATATTCGTAATTTAAACTTTTTTAATAAAATCAAATGGTGGTAGTTCAATCATGAAGTTGGTCGTGTGGATTAATATCAAAATACTGAGGATTTGGCAATAACCTTTTTCATCTATTAAAAAACAACACTTACGGGGCAAGGTTTATTGTAAGAACAACATTTTTTTCTATGTATTGACATACTTTAAGCTTTGTTGACGCTATTTCCATTTGAATGAGGAAATAGCGTCAATGACTTTATTTCCAAATTTTTGTTGACTTTATTTCGCTTTTGAAAAGGTAATAATGTCAATTGACTTTATTTCGCACCAGGGTGGGAAATAAAGTCAATTGACCTTATATCCATTGACCTTATTACCTGTCACCGTGTAGACACATCCCTCAGAACATGTGAATATTTGTTAAAATTTCTGTAATTTCACTCACCCGTTATAATCCACAGCTCACGTAAGCACTCCTCTCTACTCTTTGCAATTGCCGCCGAAGTATTAATGTCCTGTGGCGCTTCGAGCAGGGGAAAAATGCAAGCACCGAGCATAGAATAGACAACAACTAGCGCCACCAGGCCGGGAGGCGAGAATAGTACTTTCAGCACCAGACCAAAGCAGCCGCCAAAGAAGGATGCCTCGTTTTCACCGTTGCCAAATTCACCCCCAGCTGTGGTAATCAATTGGTATTGGGGTTGTTGTTGTTGCGGTTGCTGTTGCTGCTGGCGTTGCTGTGCTACCGCTGTGGGTTTACTATATTGCTGATGTTGATGATTTTGATGATAGAGCTGATTGTGATAGAGTTGTTGATGTTGTAATTTCACCGTTGCGCCTGGAGTTGTAGTTGCAGTTTGCTGTTTGTATTGTTGCTGCTGTTGTTGTTGCTCGTTGGTTGCTTGCTCTGCTGCTGTCGATGCCGCTGTATTTATTGTTGTCGTTGTTGCGCTGCGTGCTCTTTCGACGTCCGACATTTTAGTTGCAGTAACAGACGTGTTTGTTGCATTTGTTTTACGCACCGCCGTCGTCGCCGCCACGGGAACATTTAGACTGGTTTAGGCGGTTGGACGGACGAGCGATGCGTTATTCAGTAGTTATTAAACTCCTTTTATTTAACGATTTTTGAGTTCGCGTTTTATGTTATGCTTGACACGATTTTTTTACTTGTTCTCTTATGCATTATGTCTTGGGAAGTTGACTATACGAAACAAATTAAAAAAAAAAAAACACTGTATAAAATGCGGCATAAATAGTGGGTAGAGGGAAAAGACATTACATATGTTCGCAACAGCTGGTGATAGTTCACTTTTGGCAGCACTAAAGTCACGCTAGTAATCTGTATATCAAATTTTCGTCACGGTCCGGATGACCTCACGGCTTGAGAGATTGGAAAAACATTGAAAATAAGTAAACAAACAAAAAAATCACTTCCATTTAATGAATCAGAAAAGTTTCGTATATGGATTCAACATGAACTCCGGAAACTTCAACCACCGTTGTATCCAATATGATCTATTTGTATCAGGCTGAAAGAACGAACCCCCCAAATGGAATTCTTCTAAATACGCGGCGCTTGTTGTAGGGCATTGAACCAAACCCGGCCTAAATGGAACTTGGAAGTCGAAAATCTGCCCAAGTTGTACAGAAAAAACCTGTTGCTAAAATTTCAAGAGTAACGTAGAATTTTCGTTAGATAGAATGGAAATTAGTTAGGAACTCCTCAGGGTACCTGCAGAGATCTGATTGTACTTGGACACAGATACTGTGAAGAAAACTCTGGATCTACGTACCTCTGAGGACACACTTTCATAATGCTACTGCTAATCAGTCTGAGGCGCTATTATTAGCAAAGTAGGTTAGGTTAAGTGAAGCGGCTAGCGGAGAGAGGCGCAGTTAGTTCCAATGGCCCCATTGCGGTACCAATTGAAAGCTCATATTCCTTCCCGCGTGTTTTTTCAACCATATTTTGCACTTAGATAACTGTTACCTAATATGTCTCTGTGGCCTTGCACCCACGCAATGTTAACAGTAGACTTTGACCCAAACCGTTTGAGGACTTTTCTGCGTTCTGTCGCTTGTTCACAGCATTCCGGTGACCTAACCTGTTTTTACATGAGATTGGCGATTCAACATTGCTCAACCAAAATCATTCGTTTAAATGGTGATGCAAACATCGCTTGCCTCAAAGTACATAGCAAGTCTATTTTTGCAGTTGGTTATCACTGCTTTTCTAACGGAGTATGTGGTTACTGAATGCATCAGTATGAGCTTGGAAAACACTGAAGTTGTCTGGCAAGACAGAGATATAATAAGAGGGTTGTGTGTGTGGTCTGTATGAGCTTTCAAAGAAAAACACTCTTCTTCCTCTTTCACCACCTTGGGCACAATATACAAGAAATCTTATTCTCAGAAGACGACGTTAGATCGAAACTTCTCTACACTTAAAATACGATAAAAATCATGTGGCCGGAAAGGGAGTTGAAAAGATCCCAGGTGCTTACGTTGAGCAGAAGAGAAATTTCTTTAACGCTATCTATGTCTGCGGATAAGTCACATCATTTTAGGAAGGCTCATTTGTTCCTAAGAATCACTTCTGTAGGAGCTATCAAAATCGATAAACAGACCGAAGGCATATACTCTGCGAGCACCTAAGCGATATAGCGGACATACATATGTGGCGATTGCTCAAATTCATCAACTCTATATCAAGGGCTGAGTGGAAGATCGCCCTATCTCGGCTGCCGGTATGAAAATTCTGCAGCTCAGAAAATGGTTTAAGAACGCCCTATATCAGAATTTTGTTGAAGAATGCCCTATCTCTTCTTCCGCTTCGAAAAAGCCCTATTTCAATATAAATTTGACAGCTGAGGTAGGGCGTTCTTAAAGCATTTGCTTAGGTAGGACGTTTTTAGACCAGCATCCGAGACAGCGCGATCTTTCACTTAGCCGCCCACGTATTGGTTTATATAGGAGGGAAGGGTGTGTATTAGGGTGGTAAATAAAATTTAGGTCGGAGTTTAAATTCTTTCACGCCCGGGAACCTGTGTTTTTTTTAATAAAAAAATATTTTGAGGCTTGAAAAGAAACAGAGTTTTCCGATCCAAAAATATCGATTTGTAAGAAATATATATTATTTCTACGAAAAAAACTATTTTTCCATATAAAATACATGAACAACCTTGAGCGCTTTGTATGACATCTAAAAATTTTTTGATTTTTAATTATAAAACAGGAATACTGTTTTGGAACAGAAAAATCCTGCGGGTGGCAGCATTAAAATCCCGACTTCACTTTTTTCACCACCCCATTGTATAGATGCTGTGTAATATAACAATGTGTCCGATGAAGGTATTTAGTATGCTGCCTGGCCAAAACTAACCTGTTTTAGAAAATATGACATACATACATAAATACAATACAATCACAATTATCTATTTTCATAAAGTTTTGAGCTAGATGTTTTCATATTTCATAAATTATTTTCATTAACTTTTAAGTATTTATTTTGTATTTTTTAAGTTTCCTCTCAGTTTCTATAAAATTGTATAAAAAGATGAATTTTAAACTGTTGATGAACTTTCACTCAAACTTTTCACTTTGTCCATGTATTGTTAAATCGCAACTTTTCCCCGTTACTACCCACAAAAGACCACCTAGACTTCTCACTAACACCGGCGCGCGCGTGTGATGCAACACTTCCTTCCTTTGCCGCTCCGCAACTGTCACTCAACTGCTACGTCGTGCTAATGTCATTTTAGCCACCCGGAAGTGTTTACGTCCACACTTTACTTAATTTTCTTCACACACGCGCATACACTCCACCAGCAACTGCTAGCACCGTTAAATGAGCGTGCACCTCACCCACCACCAACCAATTCATTTCACTGTTTTGCTGTTTAAAGTTTTAATTTTTTTTGCTTTTGTCTTTTATTTTTATATTTTTTTTACTTTTCATTGTTTTTGCGTCTGCAACTGACTTAACATTGTTGGCAAAGTGCCATCAGTGTTGCCACCCTAATTTAAACACTTCCCGTACACGCTTTGCAACAACTCAGCACAATTTCTACACCTACAAATACAGTATACAAACTCGTTGCCTCGCTAATGTGTGGCAGCATTGTCTTGTAGTTGGTTTGATGTGTCACTGTTTTTGCAAATAGTTTTTGTTGTTGTTGTTATAGTTGGTATTATTGCCATTGCTGCAGCCTACATTAGTTGCAGGCATTGTGTTTTCTTAACGCATTCCTTGCCAGTTAACAGTAAGCTTTATTCATGCAATTTTTGTTGTTGCTGCTACAATTGCTGCTGTTTTTGTCTTTCGTGCTGGCAGCAGCAACTTTTGCTTAATTACTCTTTAATGCCTTCACACCCACCACCCAAACGCCTTCGGCTCGGCGCACAGTGCCGCGAAGGTGGACAAAAATACAAAAATCGACTGTCTTGAAACTTAGATGTTTTGATGTCAAGTTACAGCTAAATCTCCAACTAAGAGAAGTTCATAAGTTATTTTGTGATAAAAACAACTTTCAGCCTCACACACCCCCTCAAAGTACACCTATTTTCTACATACCATTTCATTTCGGCGATTCGCACATAAAAGTGGTCGCAGTTAAAAATTTGTTAAAAATACATTTTTATTCCTAGCAAGATCAACTTTTGCACTTTGATAAAGATATATGCGACAAA